TTATTTTTTTATAAGGTTAATATAAACTCTTCTCTTGAATGGAAGGAAGTCTGTTGAAATCAAATATTCTGCAAGAGCAAAAAGTCTGCACTCACAAAACATTATCAGTTATATGGCCTCACAAAACAGATAAATCCACCTCACAAAATTCTCTCAAAATTCTCTCAACAAAATTCTTTAGCAATCTGCACACAATTGTTTTTTTTTACTAAACATTGTTCACATGGATTACAGAAGAACTAAGGTTGTTTTACTTTATTTTATTCTTTAAGAAGGGGGCAACTATCCCATCAATTTGACTCTTATTAAAAATCATATTAATTAAAACAAACAAACATGCACAACAAGGATCAAGCATAGGAAGTAGAGAATATGAAGATTCAGATGACAAAGCATGACAAACAGAATATATCATGTCAAAACTTGAAGTGATTTTTTTCCCCTCCTTAACAACTCAAATTAAGAAACTTTCTTCAAATAAACAAAGGAAAAGTTTCTCAAAATAAATGGAGGAACGTACCATTGCAAGTTGTTCAGCCATAGAATGATTTACTTCCTCAGAACTGTAGTTCCTTGTTTCGTACTACCTTCCTGCCAAAAGATATAACTACTGAGCATTTTCATTTGCGCATAATAGGAAACTGAAGATCTCAGAAACAAAAAATCAGAAGACAAATATGTACACCAATAAGGTTGATAACTACATTAGGCTTTGCCATTACGGCCTCAATTGAAGCCTCATCTCTTAGATTGTATTTCCTTGGCACCATCTGAGTAAGTAAATCACGAATATATCAGTGGAACTGAAGCAGGCAAAATGCAGAATAATAATAGTAATTATAATGGAAAACAAAATTCCAGTCAAATTCTTTATTAAAAAAAAACAAAAAAATCCAGTCTAATTCAAATGACGGCCCAATGAATGGAAACATCCTCAACACTAACTCAATCTATCTCAAATCACTTCAAATGATGATGGGAATCTTCAGAACCCCAGAAAGGAAACAAAACATGAGCTGAGATGGAAGAGAAAGAAATAATTAGCACATAAAGATTATAGAGATATATTTAAAGGTTTGCATGATCAAGTTAACAAGTATAATGTACATTCGTGTTTCACAGAGTAGCAAAAAAAGAAATGACATCAACACTCAGTTTACCGAATTGTTGCACAACATAACGACCAAGGAATCGAGTAGCGCAATCACTACAAGAAACATAACTATTAGCGACGACAAAAAGTTATTGTAATAAATTTAAAGTCGTCGCAAATAAAGTTTTAGTGATCATTTCTCGTCGCAAAACTGTCACCGCAATGGATTCATCGCAAATTAATTTTTGCAACGACAAACAAGATTCAGATGACAAAGCATGACAAACAGAATATATCATGTCAAAACTTGAAGTGATTTTTTTCCCCTCCTTAACAACTCAAAGTAAGAAACTTTCTTCAAATAAACAAAGGAAAAGTTTCTCAAAATAAATGGAGGAACCTACCATTGCAAGTTGTTCAGCCATAGAATGGTTTACTTCCTCAGAACTGTAGTTCCTTGTTTCGTACTACCTTCCTGCCAAAAGATATAACTACTAAGCATTTTCATTTGCGAATAATAGGAAACTGAAGATCTCAGAAACAAAAAATCAGAAGACAAATATGTACACCAATAAGGTTGATATTCTTTTACTTTTATGACGTTTGGCGTAGTTGGTATTCTGTTATTGTTTTTGTATTTGAGCTATAAATAGTCATAATACCTATTGTAATAGTAAGACTTGAATATTTTGATAATTGAATTAAGGTTGAGTTTCCTCTCCAATTAAGAGATTTTCCCCTTTTTGAAGTTTTTTTAGGTGGATTCAGGAATTTTTCATTCGAATTAGGCCGGTAAAACATCATCCTATCCATTCCGCTGTGTCACTTTATTAACTAACTCAATCTATCTCAAATCACTTCAAATGACGATGGGAATCTTCAGAACCCCAGAAAGGAAACAAAACTTGAGCTGAGATGGAAGAGAAAGAAATAATTAGCACATAAAGATTATAGAGATATATTTAAAGGTTTGCATGATCAAGTTAACAAGTATAATGTACATTCGTGTTTCACAGAGTAGCAAAAAAAGAAATGACATCAACACTCAGTTTACCGAATTGTTTCACAACATAACGACCAAGGAATCGAGTAGCGCAATCACTACAAGAAACATAGCTATTAGCGACGACAAAAAGTTGTTGTAATAAATTTAAAGTCATTGCAAATAAAGTTTTAGTGATCATTTGTTGTCACAAAACTGTCACCGCAATGGATTCATTGCAAAATTAATTTTTGCGACGACAAACCGTCGTCGTAATTATATTTGTGACAACAATCGTCGCAAATGAGTCGCTGTAATTATTTCGTCGGTTACATCGCTAAGATGACATGGCATTGAGTATTTATAATGATATTTTGTGAATTAAGTCGTCACAAAAGATGCAGATTTAACTAACGTGGCTTATATTTTTTGCGACCACATTTGTCGTCGCATATAATATTTTAATTTTTTATTTATTTTTTCTCATTTTACTAATTAATGTTGTATATTACTATATATTTAAACCCAATATTAAATATAATTCATGATATTATAATAATAAAAAAGAATTAAATAAAAGGAAATAAATAATAACAAATAGAAATAAAAATTATTATTGTAAAAAGTAATTACTAAAATAAAATAAAAATGTAATTATAGTAGAAATCTGCGGAAATAAAAATTGTTACATTAATAAAAATCTAATCTCCTAAATTAGCAGCAACATTAGAATCATCGTCGTTATCATTAGAAGAATTCGGAGGCAGATGACCTGGACGGACATACGGCACATGAGGAGTAACCGCTGGGAAAGTCATGTTGGGGTGCATTTGAGTGATGAAGTCCTGCATCATTATGTCACTCTCGTACAGTTGGAGGTTTTGCTGGTAACTCTGTTGTAAGTATTCTTCTACGTGTGGGTCAGAATGTGTCGTAGAAGATCTTGTCGAGCGTGAGTCAAATGACAACGCATCCCCTCGATAAACCTTTTGTGGGAGTGTGCGACCCACTCTAATCTTGTGATAACGACCAAGGAATCGAGTAGCGCAATCACTACAAGAAACATAGCTATTAGCGACGACAAAAAGTTGTTGTAATAAATTTAAAGTCGTCGCAAATAAAGTTTTAGTGATCATTTGTCATTGCAAAACTGTCACCGCAATGGATTCATCGCAAAATTAATTTTTGCGACGACAAACCGTCGTCGTAATTATATTTGTGACAACAATCATCGCAAATGAGTCGCTGTAATTATTTTGTCGGTTACATCGCTAAGATGACATGGCATTGAGTATTTATAATGACATTTTGTGAATTAAGTCGTCACAAAAGATGCAGATTTAGCTAACGTGGCTTATATTTTTTGCGACTACATTTGTCGTCGCATATAATATTTTAATTTTTTATTTATTTTTTCTCATTTTACTAATTAAAGTTGTATATTACTATATATTTAAACCCAATATTAAATATAATTCATGATATTTTAATAATAAAAAAGAATTAAATAAAAGGAAATAAATAATAACAAATAGAAATAAAAATTATTATTGTAAAAAGTAATTACTAAAATAAAATAAAAATGTAATTATAGTCGAAATCTGCGGAAATAAAAATTGTTACATTAATAAAAATCTAATCTCCTAAATTAGCAGCAACACTAGAATCATCGTCGTTATCATTAGAAGAATTCGGAGACGGATGACCTGGACGGACATACGGCACATGAGGAGTAACCGCTGGGAAAGTCATGTTGGGGTGCATTTAAGTGATGAAGTCCTGCATCATTATGACACTCTCATACAGTTGGAGGTTTTGCTGGTAACTCTGTTGTAAGTATTCTTCTACGTGTGGGTCAGAATGTGTCGTAGAAGATCTTGTCGAGCGTGAGTCAAATGACGACGCATCCCCTCGATAAACCTTTTGTGGGAGTGTGCGACCCACTCCAATCTTGTGTCCTCTGTGGGTTCCCAGAAACTGCTCCATAATATCCTCCTCGTTAACTGCTCCTGCTACAGACCCAGAAGTAGTAGATTGCGTCTGGATCTAGCGCAATCACTACAAGAAACATAGCTATTAGCGACGACAAAAAGTTGTTGTAATAAATTTAAAGTCGTCGCAAATAAAGTTTTAGTGATCATTTGTCATTGCAAAACTGTCACCGCAATGGATTCATCGCAAAATTAATTTTTGCGACGACAAACCGTCGTCGTAATTATATTTGTGACAACAATCATCGCAAATGAGTCGCTGTAATTATTTTGTCGGTTACATCGCTAAGATGACATGGCATTGAGTATTTATAATGACATTTTGTGAATTAAGTCGTCACAAAAGATGCAGATTTAGCTAACGTGGCTTATATTTTTTGCGACTACATTTGTCGTCGCATATAATATTTTAATTTTTTATTTATTTTTTCTCATTTTACTAATTAAAGTTGTATATTACTATATATTTAAACCCAATATTAAATATAATTCATGATATTTTAATAATAAAAAAGAATTAAATAAAAGGAAATAAATAATAACAAATAGAAATAAAAATTATTATTGTAAAAAGTAATTACTAAAATAAAATAAAAATGTAATGATAGTAGAAATCTGCGGAAATAAAAATTGTTACATTAATAAAAATCTAATCTCCTAAATTAGCAGCAACACTAGAATCATCGTCGTTATCATTAGAAGAATTCAGAGGCGGATGACCTGGACGGACATACGGCACATGAGGAGTAACCGCTGGGAAAGTCATGTTGGGGTGCATTTAAGTGATGAAGTCCTGCATCATTATGACACTCTCATACAGTTGGAGGTTTTGCTGGTAACTCTGTTGTAAGTATTCTTCTACGTGTGGGTCAGAATGTGTCGTAGAAGATCTTGTCGAGCATGAGTCAAATGACGACGCATCCCCTCGATAAACCTTTTGTGGGAGTGTGCGACCCACTCCAATCTTGTGTCCTCTGTGGGTTCCCAGAAACTGCTCCATAATATCCTCCTCGTTAACTGCTCCTGCTACAGATGACCCAGAAGTAGCAGACTGCATCTGGATCTGCGTTTCTCTTTCTCCTCCCATCCGATGCTACAAATATTATAAGAAAAATAATTAAATACATAATGCGATTTAAATAAAAAAATATAATTAAACATTACGAGCATACTTACAAAAGTCTGCTCAGCTTGGGGATTAACCCAAGTATCCCCACGACGATGCATGTCCCCCAGTTATCAATGACGGACATCGGCTGCTCAGTCCCTGTGGCAGACTGTATAGTAGTTTAAATGTATATGAATATAGTGTAATCGACTACCAAATTAACATTTATATTGAATAAATTATTAACAAATACTTACTTTCTTCTCGCGATGTTGGGAGTACGACAGCCGACCATGAAAACTCAATCACTTTTGGTTGCTACGATTAAGTTTAATGATTCCTGACTTTTTCTATTTATGATTACATTCAGCGTTAGTAAAATTAACCTTTATTATATATGATAAAATAACATATAAAAGAGATTCAATTACATGAAACTTATCGGACATGAATTTATCGTAGCAATGACCCCAGTGATCTGGATTCCTGAGATTTTTGGGAGGGTGGGTCCTAACTCCACTCTAATTTTTTAAACCACCAAGATCTTTGAAATAGTCATGGAGGTTACTTTTCCAATCCTTATAACATTTTGTTTAACAAATTTATAATTATGTTCTAACATACTAGACTCACAGTGTGATGGCAACCTATAAGAATCGGGTGGGGGTTGCGCTCCCCCTAAAGAGCCATCACATGTAGCGAGTGGGCCATACATGATTGCCTATTAAGAAATCATCATAAATGTTATTATCTTATTTACATAATTATTATGTTATATGAATAATTAAAATTATTAAAACAATAATCGCAGTACATAATTTCTATTCATCGTCACTGCTAATGTCTTAATTGTCATTTATGTCACTATCATCCTCAGAATCATCGATGTCTTCTTCAACAGAGTCTTCTTTCTCATCCTTTACCAGTATATCGGAGTCATTATCCTCAATGGGAAAACATGGGGGTGATCTTTCCTTCCTTTGCCACTCTGGTTGTGATTTCGTGACCCTTAGCCCTCCCTCGAGCTCCACGATGTCGTCAAGGTGCGGCATCAGGTGCTGTAGAATGAAATATATTTAGTGATCATATAATACTGATGTAATTAATTTAACAAATTTATAATTATGTTCTAACATACAAGACTCACAGTGTGATGGCAACTTATAAGAATCGGGTGGGGGTTGCGCTCCCCCTAAAGAGCCATCACATGTAGCGAGTGGGCCATACATGATTGCCTATTAAGAAGTCATCATAAATGTTATTATCTTATTTACATAATTCTTATGTTATATGAATAATTAAAATTATTAAAACAATAATCGCAGTACATAATTTCTATTCATCGTCACTGCTAATGTCTTAATTGTCGTTTATGTCACTATCATCCTCAGAATCATCGATGTCTTCTTCAACATAGTCTTCTTTGTCATCCTCTACCAGTATATCGGAGTCATTATCCTCAACGGGAGACTTGTCTGTTAAAATTGCATCACATCGGACAGGACAACATCAGATGATATATCAGGTCGATTCCACATCAAAGTGTCAATATCGGGGAGTTCCACGACTAAGTCAACATTCATAGACTCAGTATCTTGAACTACTGTAATGTCATCTGCTTCCGTATGTGGAATATCCCAAATATGTCGATGTCCAAAGTGTTCAACAACTTTTCTGTTCGGACCGTTGAATAAATCATCCACATAAAAAACCTGTTCCGCTTGAGATGTCAGTATAAATGGTTCATTCTCATACTAGGAGTCCTTGACGAAGATGCTCATTCTATTCTTGTGTTGTTGAACTCTCTATCTTCCTAGTGTCGAACCATTTACATTTAAACAGAAGAACATAGTTGTCGTTTATGTATGATAATTCATAAATCTCTTCCAGTACTTCGTAATATGTCTGGTTATCTAGTCCGCGAACAGAAAATACCACTATTCTGAAAATTTCGATTAATATCCCAATTGTATGTCAGAAACTTGACTCCGTTCACCACACAACCGGAGTAGCTTTTAACGGAAAAGCTTAAATCACACGAAAGTGAAATCAATTATGCAGTCGCGTCTGGCATGTTTCGCTCTTGAGATTAGACATCTGTCAACAGTAAACAATATCAACTGAAGTTCTATATAGCCAGAGTATTTGTAATTATAAATTATGACTATAGCGTAATACCTTACGCCAGAACCATTTTGGAAATTCCCTAACTTGAATTTCGTCTAATGATTCGGTTCGACCAGTATCATTGAGTTCTTTCTTGTGCTCACTGAAATTATAAATTTAAGTTAGTGTTATCATTTCATGTGACTTAATTATGTAATAAAATAGTGAGGTAATACTTACTCAATGTAGTGTGGGATTTCTGAACAGTTGTGTAATATGTACCACTCGGCCTTACTTTGTAACTAGTTGTCTAATGTGATCAGGATCATCTTCCCAATTGGACGATATCAAGTTTGGACGACAAATATTTTCTTCACATTACCATCTGTGTTGTCTACCTAATTTCTCTCAAGTCTGTTAAATCTTGTCTCAATGCCACTTAGATACATTGAACAAAAGGTTAGTGCTTTGTTGTCAATATAAGCCTCGGCACCCTCCGGTCTTGCCCGATTCCTAACATATTTTTTTTAATGAACCAAGGACTCATTCGAAAGGATACATCCACCTTAAATGAACAGATCCTTCTCAAATGGCTTCTTCTAGTAAGTGCATTACTAAATGAACCATTACATCAACAAAGGCTAGAGGAAAAATTGTTTCTAACTTGCATATAACAACAATATCATGTTGGGCTCTCTCTGAATCACTCCTCCGCAATGTCCTAGAACATATCAACTCAAAGAAGTTGCTTAATTCGGTGATTGCATCGACAATTTCTTTCTTCATAAATGGTTGAATCGTAGTTGGCAATAATCGCAGCAGTATGATGACAATCGTGTGATTTTAACCTAGTAAGTTTATTGTTTTCATTGATCACATTTTTCTGAAGATTTGAAGCAAACCCATCAGGAAACCATACTGACTTTAAGAAATTGCAAAACTTTTTACAATCCACCGGAGTCAATGTGTACACTGCGTGTGGTTTCATCCAACGATCACCATCTTTATACAAATGCAACTCCTTACGTACCCTGATAAGTGTATGAAAATGCACTCAAATTGTTCATAATTGCTAAATAAATTAAGTTTTAATTAAATATTTTCATGGAATTAATTTTTTATGAAAGTATTTGATTTGATTTTAATTTAATTTAATTTGTTTTGTAAGGAAATAAGACATTGGGTCAAAACTAAAAGAAAAAAAAAATGAAGCCCATCAGCAATCCCAGCCATCCGCCGAGCCAAGTTGAGCCGAGCCGCGCCACTCCTCCAAGCCGCACCACATGGTGCTTTCGCGTGCGTTTTGTGCATGCCAGGCCCTAGATCGCAAGTTCTCTCCACGCACGCATAAGCCCAGCTTTCTTTCTTCTTCCACGTGGGACCCAGCTATTCCCTTGCATACGTGCGCTTGGCGCACACAGTTCCCTCCCCCGGGCGAGTCTCCTCCATGCGCGCGTCAGGCGGTTCTCCTTTCTTCTCCGCGTGGGTGCCGCCTTACAGAAGCTTTCCAACCAACTCCCGCCACATGTCCATGTGGGACCCAGCTGTCGGCCATTCTTCCTCTCAGCCACTCAGCCCGCGCCACGTGTAACGTCGGAAGCTAGTTTTTATCCGCGTACTCCAACCGTCAATCCTGGACGAATCAAAGTGTGCCATGTGGCATTTCTTCACTTGCTCTAGTCGTTCATGCACAATGCTTGGGATTATTCATCAGTTTGTATCTGTTTGTGACGGTTTTTCTTCCCACCATAATCAACTTTTACTCACCAAATAAAGCCTTGTAAATTTCAATTCAATAGAAAAACGTTTTTTATTTTATTTTCTTTATTATTTTTGTTGCTGATTAGGTTGTTGAATTTTAGCCTAAGTGTAGATACTTTTCCTCTTATTTTTGCCTTGCTTTAGTTCTCATATTTTCTCTTTAGAATTTTGTGAGAATTATGTGCAAGCTAGGTTAGAGTTCTTGGGTGAGGCTAGAGATGATCCTATATGTGTAGTAAGCTTGTTTGGGTTTTGATTCTTTAATGGTTTGTAAGTTTTATACATTTGAGTAAATAATTTTCTTTTATCATATTTCTTCC